GTTCTTATAGAAGGCCTTGCCCATGAAGATTGCTCCCTGGTGACTCTGAGTGAGCCAGACCCTGTTGAAGAGAGAAGCCAGGGAGCAATGGTTTTACGTGGTCGTGGTTGCCATTCCAGGCACGGCGACTTTTCCATTGCATTTCTGCTTTGCTGGAAATACTTAGCTACTGGGCTAAACAGAATCTGTTGTAAATGATACCCTTCTACAAGGGAAAAAGTCCTGTCCACTAACAGGGCTGTCACATTGACTTCAATGGAATAGAGTTTTCAGCTTGCGTTTCATCATAGAATGGTTTGGGTTGGAAGGGACCTCAAAGATCATCTAGTTCCAACCCCCCTGCCATGGGCAGGGACACCTTCCACTACATCAGGTTGCTCAAAGCCTCAAGGCTTGAATTTACCTTCCTGCCAGTGTTACAACAGTACCAGCCCTTTGATCTCAGTGGAGTCGCTCTCAACAGGATGCATGGGAGAAGCAGAACGTTTCTTTGAACGACCTACTCCTTCTTTTAGGGAGAGCACTGTAAGCAGAGGCTTGAGAATCACTGGTGTAAAGTCAGCGTAAGCACAGCTAGAATATGTATCCTATTTTGTGTTGGCTTCAAAAGCTGGGAGAAAGGATGGAAAATATCCTATTACGCAAACATGTTACCTAGGGATAAAATACAGCTTCTTTAACAAAAAATAATCTTTCTAAATGTCAATTGGCATTCAATGTATAAGGCAACCAAAAGGGGGAAAAATGATTACCATGACAATCTGGCCAGGTTTAAATTACACTTTAAATGACAGAGTACTTGTTATAGGTCAAGCTCTTCTGTGAACTGCATCAAGAACACAGCTGTTGTCTGAGGGACAAGTCAGAGCAGATCTTGTCTCTCTATTGCTACTGCTCTGAGGGAATAAACAAAGGAGTTAATCAAAACTCAGAGACTTGTTCTATATTCTGCTAACCTTCATTAAGAGAGTTTTCCTTAGGGTCAACCTTCTTGCTCACATGAGTACAAAACACAGGGTTTTAGCACAGGTGGCACCCATCTGTACAATTTGCTGAATATTGGTCTTTTCTATAAAGTAAAATATTTTCTTTGGAAAAAATATCTAAAAACTTCAAATGTTTTTCTCTCTGTCTCTCAGGTATCCCACACAACCCTGTCGTTTTGGAAAACTTCTACTGCTTTTACCAGCTTTACGTTCGATTAGTCCATCTACAATAGAAGAAGTGTTTTTCAAAAAGACCATTGGGAATGTACCAATTACAAGACTGCTTTCAGATATGTACAAATCCAGTGACATATAAATTACCTTAAAACAAACAATCAGGATGGACAGTTTGAGAAGAACTTTTATCTATGGAGAAGAAGCCTCAACTAACAAAATCTACAGGAAGCATAAGCCTGGGAATGTCTAGCCTTTAAACTCATTGACAAAAAATACCCCAGTAGATATGATTCTGCCACTCTGTTCAGAGTGATTTAGATCATGGAGAGAATTCTTTGTTCTACAGAAAAAGTGAAAGTGGTTGGAATTTGGCTGCTATTCCTGTTACTACAGGATGGAGGCAATTCAGATGCCAGTCATAGTTAACAAAGACTCCGCTATTCTCTCATTTAACTGGCAGATCTGAGACAAAATGTGAAAGAAGGTACTTTAGTTTGTTCAGTATTTGGAACCGGGTGACCATACTTGGCTTCTGTTGTAACATGAGATGCAGTGGCCTTCAGAACTGTTTTAAAAGTAGCCTATGTTGGGAAAATGTTTTTAATATGATAGGCAACATTTAAGACCAGGTTACCAAAATATTGTTTCTGCTATAATACATCATGAAGTGGCCTTCAGAACTGATTAAAAAGCAGCTTATGACGGCAGCTCCATTCTTCCTGCAAAACGAACTGGTGATCTTTGATGTGGATGTCACCACAATTTGTTTGGTTAACATCTCAAAGACAGAAGAGCTTTACACACTTCCTTCCCGACCTTCCCTCCTTCTTCTTCCACACACACAGACACGCATCCACACACACCTGAAAAGAGACAAGTCAAGAAAGGAAGACTAAAACAGCAAAACCAAATACAATGGAGATGACTGCTTCAGTGACCTGCTGGCTGTCCTGTTGGCACAGTGCTGAAACCAAAGGCAATGGTGGCCAAACTGTTTGTCAATGAGATGTGCAGAGAAGTGAAATGACTGTGAAAAAAAAATCAACAGAAGAAATTTTATTTCAAAGAAATAAAGGTTGTTGACTGATACAATGCTAACAAATTCCAAAAGTCTCCCATGCCTTTTTAGAAAACTCCAGGTTCTAATTTTGAAGCCTTGTTCACCTACACCCTCTCACACACAAAAAAACGTTATAAGCTGCTTATCTGATGTATGAAAAATGTAGAAAAAAAAACATTTAAAGATAGCTGCTGTACTTTACAAAATTTGATTTGTTATTAGGAACTAGCACTGAGAAAAATCAGCACTTGGACTATCATAGAATGAGTAAAACTTTTCCTGTACAAAGTGGATTAACTGATTTGTGAAGTTAAAAAGTTGTACTCATTGTATTTACAAAGAATAAAAATATATTGAATTTAAATTACTTTCCACTATTCTTTTAACACTTGTCCTTCTATTTCTGGATTAGTTTCTTCCACTGTACCCTACTTACCAGGGAACAGAAATATTCTCTACTAAAATGGGTTGTCTTGGATGCTGTGGAGTCTCCATCAGAGGTATTAAAAAACAGGTTAGACAAACGTTAAAGGAATAGCTTTGGTGATCCTGCCTTAGGGCAAAGGGACTTCAAGGTCCTGCATAGAGCTGATTTCTATAATTCAAATATAAACCCGGTACAAGGTTTCCTTCTCAAGGAGCTAACACAGAGCTTTTTCTAGGATACAATACTAAACAGATGAGAGGTCCAACCTAGTAGAAGTCTTCCATTTCACGTTATTAGAATTTTTAATATTGGTGAATTGTGCATCTAACAGAGTGATGAGTACAAAAACACTGCTTCAATTAAAAAGATTCTGAGGTTTTATTAAGGTGTCCAATAGTGTAGTCACACCAAAGAAAGAGGTAAAGCAACTCCCAATGCACAGGAACAAGTTGGCAATAGGAGAAGGGAAATATGAGATATTATTCTTATGGCAATGAGTGACCGAAGAGCCATGCACACTAAAATGACAGGGGGAAATGTACAGTGTACATCAGTGGCTCATTGGTTTTTAGTGTCAAGGAATACAGATCACAGGTGAAATCCTAGCTCCACTGACTCCAAGCACAAAAATCTCGCATTTCAGAGGCCAAAGGTCAAAGATTTCACCCTCTTTCTCTTCCATTTGTGCAGTCTGCTAGCTCTCGCATTCTGCCCTTTCCAAGACAGCCAGACTATAAAATATACAAGACCAGTCTTTCAATGAGCCGAGTGAGACAAAGCATCGACTACAGGACTTCAAAACATCTTCCATACAAATTAGCATGGAGCACTTGAGAATGCATTTACCACAGAGCATAGTATGTTCTTAGAAAGAAACAAACGCTTTATGAAGCATTTAATAACCTCCAACCATTTTCTGCTCTCTACGCTAAAAGAACTGGACAGGGCAGAAAATCAATTGTGGCTCTCCACTCTGTGACAATTCAGTTTATGAGCTAAAGAAGCTGAACCCAGTGCTGTGCAGAACTCATGACAGAACACTCATTTCCATTAGGATTCATGCTGCTGCCCCGGAGCAGCAATAAACATGAACTGTATCCATGCTGCAAGGCAATCACACTCTGCAGTGTGCAGTAGTCCCAGTTACTAGATCATGAAGGCTAGAGGATGCGACAGAGTATAATGGCTTTCTCCCAGTTGCAAAGCAGGCAGGGCAACAGGTGCACACTCATATCTCATCCTCTTACCTGCAGGACCTAGACTAGCTGCAAAGCAGACTCATGAGCTGGGAACAATGCCCAGATCCCTGTGGTGTAGGCACAGCTAATCTCAGACCATGTCTTGCTCCCAGTACTATCGATTACATAGAAGCAGAACCAGTTATGCTACACCTAGAATTAGGGTCTCTAGTTTATATTGAAAGACTGAAGGCCAGGTGAAATCTCAGCGTCCAGGGCAGATGCCCTGCCAACCTCAGAAGTTAACACTCCAAAGTCCTCACTTTGGAAATAGGAATATCTTGACATCAAGTGTGCAGCTTTTCCCCTCTTCCACCTTTTTTTCCCCCCACAGCAGATGATATAGATCCTATCTGCTACAGATAAGATGAGCATTTACTTTGATTTCTGAAAGAAATTTCTCAGAAAAGAACATTTGAGAAAACAAACCAAACACTTTACTACATATCTAAGCCTAAATAAAGCATCATATACATTTAGTCCTTCTTTCTCCATTTCCAAGAGTAACTCAACTTTTAAGTGTGATTCCACAAGCACAGGGAATTTTAGAATTGATTTTACATTATCAAAAACTTATTGAAAAACTAGAGCGCTCTAGGTTGCAAGTGGGTTGTGTCAGTTTTGTCCCTGGTTTCATTAACAGGGCTGTTGGAGAGATTCAACACAGTCTTTGTTAAGTATGAGAGGGATGAGCATCTAACTTTTCAGTGTAGCTAGTCATTAGTACTACATATAATCTAGTCAGCCACCACTGTTTTGTCAGTTCAATCTTTTACATCTAGATTTCTATAAATGAGGTTAATGGTCTCGTTTAAAGGAAACTAATAACTTTGCCAGTAAGCTTGTAGGATTTTCTCAACAGTGGTAAGAAGTACTCTAAGAAGGAAAAAGCAGCAGAGCCAAGTCTAAGCCAACACATACTGTTACTAAATAGCACAAAACACTGGATCAGATTGCTACCAGAGTGTTCTTGAATCTGTTTTTAAGAGCATCTGGACAGGTAATTTCACGTTACATTTGGACACACTAAGGAAGCTTCTCCAGTCAGAGAAGCATCTTAGTATAGTCAAGTCCCTGCTTCTCAGAAAGCATGAGATACCCCACACTCAAGGTCAAGAGTGACAAAACATTTGAAGTGCATTTTCACTTTTATTTCAAAACTTTAGACAAGTTACTTTAGTATATAAATTTGATTTTTTCCTCTTACAGAATATAAAGATAATTCCCTCATTACTTCAGTATAAAGTGTTTTACAAGCTTGAAGACAATTGCATAAGTGTTTCTCACACAGGGTATCAGAAATAAAGCAGTCTTTCTACAGAAGTTCAGACAGATTACTACCTCAGAAACAGCATAGCAGTTTAGTCAAATACAAGTGAACACGTGACACTAACTGTGCAAGTTCAAGTAAGGCCAAGTCAGTAAACATTGTTAAGTCATTGCAAATAAGAGTGGAAAGGTTTGTGAGACATTGCAAGGGGTGGATGGTCTCATAGTATAATACTCTTAAATCAAGGATTCAGAGGGATTTAGCCAGAAGACAAGTGAGTTCTTTAATGCTATAAAGCTATGCAAAGACCAAGCAGTGTACTGATGTTAGTGGAGACTTCGTGCCTGTTTATCCTCAGCATGCTAAGACAAACTACAACCTCTTAAAACCAAGCATAAGAACCACTAATGTTTGAGAAGATAGTCTCAGAACTCAAGTATGTCTTATTTTGGATGGTGTGTAGTTTTTGTCTATTACTTCATCTTGTAAGAACATGTGAAGACAGCGCTCGTTCTGTGCCAGTGGGTGGCCTGCAACCCTGGAGAGGAAAAAAACAAGCATTAGTGCTAACAAATCGATTCTATTTGCAGCTAGCCAGCAGAGCAAGGTTTTATACCAATAACCTATGGTTCTGCACTTCAGCATAGATCCCACTTCCAGTTCACTGTTGGTGACTAGAATGATGTCTGGCAGCAAGATTTGTCATTCTCCCCCAGACTAATTTAGTCCATAGGAACTCTGAGCTATCTCTGATCATTTGGAAGCATGTTCTGTCATCATCTGTCACCTGCAACTGAAGGAACTATCAAAGTGCCCATCCTAGCATTAGGAAATCTAGAGTTAAGCAAGCCAAGGGGATTTTTACAGGTCTTGATGCCTCTGACACAGGACACCTTTCCGCAGGCAGCTTAACCCTGTTCTCAGTCTAATTTAATGGCAGTTAGTCCAGGCAGACTTTAAGACTTACTCCACCAGAGGGTGTGAAGGTCTTCTGAAGGCTCTGAAGCTGTTTAGAGCAGTGACATACATACCATGGTCACTATTCCTAGTGTATACAAGCAGCACTGATGCACAGCCAGAGGGTACTGGCCATTCTGTTAAGGGCAGATGTCTTTAGATATGAAACACTGGAGACAGAGCTTGTCTGCTCTAGAAGAGACCAGTACCTCTACTGCAGATTTAGTTTTGTTCCACATACAGACTGAGCCACCATCCTTTTAACAGTAAAGCAGCTGAAATTGAATTAAAACACACTCCCAAGTTTGGAAGAAAACCAAAAGGCATTGCATTTAAACCCTGAAAATACCACACAGCTTTCTGTGTAGGTAAAAATCCAAGAGAATCAGAATCCCTGGAAGTTGATCACTTATGAATATGATAATCTAAAGCAGTTTTCTCTGAGAAAAGTTACATCCAGTTTGGTCACTCAAAAGAGTCTTCTCCCTTTAAGAGAGAAAGTCCCCATCCTCTCTAGGACAGCTTTCATCAGCCTTTATGGCCTCCATATCTGTCAAAACATTTCTACTCTAAACTGAAGCTGTCTAGCTGAACACATGTAATACATAGTCAACTCCAGTGGCTCAGCATCAGTACTTCCAAGCATGTTAAGACATTCTTTCCAAATGTATTTATTAGTGCTTATTTCACCACAGGACAGATTCACTTGTCACCATGCACTTGCCATTGAGGTTGCCCATTAATGAGGAAGCTGAGCTCTCCTATTCATAGAATCATAGAATGGTTAGGGTTGGAAGGGACCTTAAAGATCATCTAGTTCCAACTCCCCTGCCATGGGCAGGGAAATCCTCCACTACACCAGGTTGCCCAAAGCCTCATCCAACCTGGCCTTGAACACTGCCAGGGATGGGGCATCCACAACTTCTCTGGGCAACCTGTTCCACTGCCTCACCACCCTCAATGTAAAGAATTTCTTTCTTATATCTAACCTAAATCTGCCCTCTTTCAGTTTAAATCCATTGACCCTTGCCCTATCACTACACACCCTTGTAAAAAGTCCCTCTCCAGCTTTCCTGTAGGTCCCCTTTAGGTACTGGAAAGCTGCTATAAGATCACCTCGGAGCCTTCTCTTCTCCAGGCTGAACAACCCCAACTGTCACAGCCTATCTTCATAGCAGAGGTGCTCCAGCCCTCTGATCATCTTTGTGGCCCTCCTCTGGACTCGTTCCAGTAGCTCCATGTCCTTCTTGTGTTGGGGACTCCAGAGCTGAACACGGTATTCCAGGTGGGGTCTCACGAGAGCTGAGTAGAGGGGCAGAATCACTTCCCTTGACCTGCTGGCCACGCTCCTTTTGATACAGCCCAGGATTCAGCATTGACTGATCATTTTTATGACTGCACTTGAAATGATCTATCTTGCCAGGTTCTAGTAAATGGGCAGCAGTGTCAAGCACTAGTTCACAAGGAAGACAGCCTGGAATAACTCGTTTGAGTTTCTTACCCCCATCAGATTGAAGTTGCTGGCCTTGAACTCCAAGAGAAAGATAAACGGGAGAAGATGACGAGGCAGCAGTATATTCCTTCTCACTTTCAGGAAGGCTTGCAAATTAGTGGCTGAATTGCAAGACTAGATCTGATCTCGTGGTTTCATGTGAATACCTCACTCACAGTATTGATGGTGGTGCCAGCAACCTGGCCCAAGAGAGCTGACGCGAGTAAGCTGCACTGCTGTAATTTAGTCCCTCTGGATTTTACATATAGAGGGACAAAGCTTCTCAACAGCCTAGATATCAAGAACTGGCATTGGTGCATCAAGAACTTTTTTGGAGACAGTGATATCAGTTACCTGAGGGACTCTTCTTTAGTTCTAGGAGTGAAGGCCAGCTTTGAGAATGCAGTTATGTGAATGTATTATGCAAATTAACTTCAGGACTAATTTCAGTAGTACATAATTGGTAGAAACCTTAAAGCTTCTGCATAGTTGAAAACTTTGATAAGTAATATTTGCTTGACGAGTTGGTCATGCCATTAGGATAAATTGATGAGGCTGAACAGCTAGGAATTCTGCCTGAAGAATCTTGTTCCAGCTGTACTCAAGTCTGCCACTACATCAATATCTACATTAACAGCCTACTTTTATGTTTGAAAGGAGGAAAAATTGACCAAGTAGTTTTACGCTTCGCAAGATCAATGTATTACTTGCTGTAGGACTGAACAAGTGATACCAGTAAACTGGCCACTCCATTTCTGTCAGCTATATTGAGTTTTTCAAAGATTCTAGTTAAGATGACTGTTTCACTATCATCTATTTCAGAACATAAACAGCCCTCTTTCCCCACATATCACTAGGCTCAGCATACAAAACTTTCATTAAGTGTGCTTCTTCCATATTTAATGTGGAGTCCCAAGCCTGCACAGATAAAAGTTGTACTTTACAGTTGTGACAGCCTTCATTGTACAGCCTTAAAGAAATGAAACACACTCCATCTTACTATAAGCACATTTGCCTTCATGTACTGTAAATGAAAAACTAGATGCCTTGGAAATTCATTCTACTTATCTCTGAACAGAGGAAAGAGCATTCTGAAGCATTTTACCTGCTCAGAACATTACTCATATCTCTAAATTGAGCTAACAAGCAATTTTGTGAAGAAAACCTTCAAAGACTTCAGTCACACTTAACTTACTTGCACAAGACAGTTTTAGTGAACTAGTCACTTGCAACTCCAAGCCACATGCCTGAACTAACAATAACTGACAAGCTGATGAAGTTCTGGCTTAACTCACAGATATCCTCTGCTCCTGTTAAACAGTATTACTATGGAACAAGGTTAAAATGCTAGTGGAACTGACAAGCTTGAACTTTTAAAGGGAGCAGTCCCAAATCCAGCTGGTCTGAACAGTGCTGGCTCTAGAAACCAGAAGAGCCAGTTAACTGACGGTATTCCCTCTTACCCACTGTTTGGATCCACATTGTTAAGGAGATTAAAGTAGCTCTTTGGGTCACTACATGGAGGACAGTTAGTAATGTCAGATGGTAGAAAAAGAATCATACGACTTTGTCATTACAATTTCTGCTCATACTTTGAAAGATAGTGACAAAACGCAAAGTGTGTATTTCAAACTACATATGTGCATACCTCAGGTAGTGTTTTTACATTTCAGATTCTCACAATGATTAGAGAAAATATGCATCATTACACAAGCTGATAATACCTCACATCTGCAATCAAAGTAAACTGCAGTAAGTCCATTGTAAGCTCCATTGTTCACCCAGTGGAGGATACCTTTTCAGAAATGAAAAAGTAGAACTATTTTGGACGCTATAATTTTACTAGTAATTTGCATAAATTAACACCACCACCAACATTCATTTCAGCTGTTCAGGTAAGCATTAAGATATCCAAACTAAACACTGGATGAGCAATGTTAGTATGACCTACTGCAAAATTATGTGGAAGTTATTATTCTGAACCTGGTGCAGCCACCATAGTTAGAGGATTAGTAGCTTTAATTCAATTTTCTGGAGCCGAGTTCTGAGTTTGTTGCCAGATAACAAGATCCAACACTTACTTGTTTATGAATTGTTCAAGAGCCTGTTTCCTTTCCTCTATAAAGGAATCATCAAATATGCCATCATCTCCTCGGAAGGGGAGCTGACGGAGAAGAGCTTTTCCTGGGAGAGGTGGTACCACAACCTGAAAGATTTAGAGAAGTGTTCTCAAGTGCAGCCTGGAAGCAAGTTTATACACTTCCTGCGCCACCCTCTTCCTCCTCGCAGACCTAAATCAGTCACATCGCTAGTGAGGTAAGAACAGTATCTGCCATAGAGGTAAGTTGAATTCAAGTAGTTCAACTCTGAATTAAAACCATTAAAGAACCTTCAGCACTGTACAACTGAGGTTTGCTGAAAGACAATGTTTTAGTTCTGGACATTTTCAACCACAGTATCTGCTCTATATGATATATATGCTTTATAACAATAACATTTCAGCATCACTACTCTTTGTATATCTGCGGAGACTTGTATTTACCCACCTTGCTTTCTCTTTCTAGTTCATTCCTTAGCCATTCAAAGTCACTGTATCTTCTTCTGACTGTAGATTCTTTCAATTTGAAGATAGGTAGATTTGTCTGAAAACAAGAACATAAGTCATTAATTAGACAAATCAGAAGTTTTGATAAGCAGAAGAAACAAGCTGTTAAATTACAAATTAGTTCCACTTCAGCAACATCAGTATTGAGAAACATTGAAGATATAGAAATACAGATAAAGCTCTGTAAGCTACATGAGTAAGCTCTGTCTCAAACTGCTTAACTGTGGGCCTCATTTATGGCATACTACTCACTGGTATGTTGCCACCCTTATCATCTAGCAGAATAGCAGATTTGCTGGTCACTTGACAAGTTGTTACTAAGGTTGCACAAGCACCTACTGTTCTTACTGTCTCAGGAGCTAGATTCCCAATGTCAATACATGTACAAAATCAGAGCGGGGCAGAAACAGTCTTCCTAAACCACACAGGCTCCTCTTACTGCATTCAAGGGAACATTTCAGGTACCAGCATAGGACATTAACCAAGCTTCCTGTACTTTTCTGCTACCTGGTACAACATGGCCTCCGACATCTTTAAAAGCAAAATTAGTTAAATCGTACAGTGAATCCATTCAGGACAGACAAAGCTGAAAAGTACAGCTTGCTAGTACAAGCTGCCAAGTTTGGGTAGCTCTAGAGAAGCCAAGACTGAGATGCAACACAACATTCAGTGCCTGTAAGACTGTTTTGCTACAAAGTTAAACCAAGTAGAGCCTGATGAGGCAGAACTTTCCTCAACAAGGCTAGGAGTCAGCACCCAACTCTAACACACTTGAAAGAGTGGAGTTTCGCTCAAAAGGGAGTCAAGCTATAATGCTGCACAAGACCATGTTAAATACATGAGCGTTTTGATAGATGTCCTTACACTATCTTGTGTAAACAGCCTATATCACTTCTATTCATTCTTAGGTGTTATCCCATTGCTGTAATCCAACTAGCATGTTATTTTAAGAGCAGACATTGAGAGAGCACTCTCCTAATGACATCCCCAGAACACAAAGCTCCAAGACCACAATCTGAAGATTAAATGTCATTGAGATGGCATAGAGTGAGGCGCTAGAGTGTTACAAAAACACTAGAGTTATGATCTACTAAAAGCAAGACCCAAAGTCTATAATTGCCATACATAATCAGCACTAACAGGATAAAGCTTACTGTTGTCAGACTGCATATTCACTGTTTTATACACCTTGAAAGACTCTTGAGCTGATGTTCACATGGGACTACAGTTATCCCCAGTTTTCCTGTCGGCAGAAGCACAGCAGTCATTCTCAGCTAGTGCCTTCTGTTTTTGTTGTTTTATTAAGTTGTAAGCCATCTCACTCAGCTTCTGGTCCCAGTTTTGAGTGGATATCCCTGTACAATACCATTTGCAGGCAGTTATGCTTAAGCTATCATTGAGTGATACTTTGGCTGCTCAAACCAGGATTAGTTAGAGAAATAAAATGGCCTGCAGTCATAGGCCTACCTAGTGCCGGAAGGCATTACTGCCACCCAATATTGAGTTTCTGGCTGTCACAGATCAAAATTACTCAAGTAGTTAGTTGTGTACTTTCACATTATGCAATTTAGTCCATAATTTACAGATGATCAAGTACAGAACAGTATTTTGTTATGAAATCTCTTATTGCTAAATGTTCAAGAGTATTCAAGCTCTCCTTTCCAGGTAAAAGGTTGTTGATTAGTGACTAATAACAAAATTGCATGTAAGACTATTATGTCAGAAGTCAGGCTTTATAAATAAACACTCTCTTGAGGATAAGAATACTCTACTCAAGAGTGAATGAAGCTAGGTCCCCCAGAGTGCATAAAGGAGACTCCCAGAAGTGAAGTACTGGATTATTTTTCTCTGATTTCAGCTATTGGCTTTTTAACCAAGTTCAGCCTTCCACATTACAACATCAACTCTTTGTCAATGTCTCAGGTAGAAAGTCCTTTACAATGTTTAACATATAGATAGGCTCTCACCTGCAGGAAATAGTCCATTCTCCTCTCAAGTTACTTACAAGAAGGATTAGAACTGAATAAAAGCAGCTAAAAAACAATGAGTCCCCAGGTTTTCAGAAACTCTTTTCATGCTTCTGGGCATGAAGTCTGTAAAGTTAATCTCTAAACAACATATCAGGCTTACAGGTACAATGTGGGGGTAGAAGTGCCAATTGAGCTCACTTTACCATCCACATTCCCTTTTGAACTTTTGACATGCTATCCCAGCTAGTAAGCTGGAAAAAAGGACAGAGTACTTGTTTTCCCTTTAAGTTGAAAGATCATCTCCAATTTTGATTGTAAGCACTGGAAATGTTCAAACTGAAGTGCATACTAGAAGGCTCCCATTAAACTAGGTAGCTTACAAGTCACAACTTGACAATGACATGCTAAAGTAAAGTGTGAGTCCCCTGTCCTTTGGTCTGGGTATCAATTAGAGCTATCTGTTGAGATCAACTTCTAAACATGATGCTCCTTAAAACCCAGAAACGGCAGCAATTTTCCTTCCTCCAGAAATTAGTACTGATAGAACAGCGTTCTTCAGATATGCAGCTGTTAGAAAGGATCTATTTTAAAACGAACAATTTGAGTCCTGTTTTATACTGCTTATCCTATTTACATCTGAGGTCCTTATTTTTAACTCAGAATATATTCATACTTTAAGCTACTGTATGTGCCTTTCTCATTACCCTGTTTAAGCAGAACACTTTTTCCTTCAGTAGGAAGGGTTTCTGCATGTCCTACAGTCTTCATCTATCACGGATAGATGGTTTTCATTAAGCAAGCCAGACAGCTGCTGAAACATAGGCTATCACTGGGCAAGAACTTAGTAGAATGGGACAACTCTAAGGTTTCAACAGAAACCCTCAATCTCTATTGAAGTGTCACTTCAAGACCATACAGCATATTAAAGCTATTCTCAGCTTCACTTTATGTTGAGAGTTATCCGTCACTGAGGTACCAGTAGCTATTCTGAACACTGCCAGTGCTTTGTTTCTCTTCTAGAAGAGACATGAGATTAAGGCAGAAAACTTGAAGTCAGGTTCATTTCATGTTTACAAACATTTCTCCCCATGTTCATTCAGCATTAGTGATGGTTTCTGGCCTGCTGATCTGCTAGGTCTACTGTCACAAAACTCATGACCCAGTTTAGTGCAGCCCCTGAAGCATAGCTTACTCCTCTGATAAATTCACAGTCCAAGTCACAGAAGGCAAAGGCAGGGACTGGGAGAATGAAGAACCGCCCACTGTAGGAAAAGATCAGGTTCGAGACGACCTAAAGAACCTGAAGGTGGACAAGTCCATGGGACCTGATGAGGTGCATCCGCAGGTCCTGAGGGAACTGGCAGATGAAGTTGCTAAACCACTATCCATCATATTTCAGAAGTCATGGCACACTGGTAAAGTTCCCACTGACTGGAAAAGGGGAAATACAGCCCTCATCTTTAAAAAGGGGAAAAAAGAAGACCCAGGGAACTACAGGCCAGTCAGTCTCACCTCCAGGCCCAGCAAGATCATGGAGCAGATCCTCCTGGTGACTGTGCTAAGGCACATGGAAAATAAGGAGGTGATTGGTGACAGCCAACATGGCTTCACTAAGGGCAAATCCTGCCTGACTAATTTGGTGGCCGCCCATGATGAGGTTACAGCATTGTTGGATAGGGGAAGAGCAACTGACATCGTCTACCTGGACTTGTCCAAAGCATTTGATACTGTCCCACACGACATCCTTGTCTCTAAACTGGGACGTGGTTTTGATGGATGGACCACTCGGT